TTCGTTAGGCTCAGGAAATGAGAACACTGTCTGGGAATTATTAAGGTTGGGCGTCATCTGCCCCATTACTTCCACTTCTTCCGCTGGCACATTTACATTCGATTCATTTTTCAACCGCTTTTCGGGTAAGGCTAATATACTCTCTTTCGTATTCTGGTGACTTTTCCCTGTGGTGTTAAGCGTCGTCTTCTTCTTATTATTCTTTTCTTCATCGGAAGCCACGACTTGACTAATAATAGTAGTTGTCTTATTCACCACATGATTGCTTTGTGGGGATTCCTTACGCTGGATGGCTCTCGCTCTACTCCGAGTTAGCCTCTGCGTAGATAACACCGGGCGGTCCTCTGAAGAAACATTCTTGTGTATAAGTTCCTTCAGATTTCTTACTTCTTCCTCTAGTTGATGCATCTTGTAGGCTATCGTTTGACAATCATTACATGAATATCCTACCAGATCCTGCGGTGACGAATTAACAAAGCTTTTAACTGAGCTCTCCTGTTGTGCGTCGGTGGTGTAGGGGTTAGCGGAGCGAGCTCTAGATTTTGAGGTCCCCGGTTCGAATCCCAAGTGCGCGTTACTTTGGAACACTAGTGCAGACTCCAACATTCTGGATAATTTTTCTATATACACAAAGAGCGTAGTCTTAAGTATGAAGGAAAGGCTTTTATGACGATCTTTCGGTAGAAAGTAACTTCATTAGTTGAATGGGAAGGTATGGTCGAGAAGCTTCCGAGAGCAAAAATTTAGACAAATACTTTGAGGCGATGATGCAACAATGTCTAATGGTAGAAAAGCAACTCAGCCTTTGTAGAAACGTTGGATGAATTGTTCTTCAGATAATCCGACTTTCTGGGCTTGCAAGCGTGAGAAACGAGGAAGGCCGAAATCGGAGTTCTGGGCATGTGCTGCAGGAGACTAGTTGGGAGAAAGATATTGATGAGTCGAATTCAAGTCTTAATTCCGAAAGGCTCTAAGAGCGTACAGTAAGTCCAAATCTCGAAGTAACTAAATTCCTCGGAGAGCGAAAATTTAAAACCAAATTCCAAACTTATTTATTTAGAAATGCCGCGAAGCTCTCCGGCGAAAATTTAAGTGTTATCTTCTATGCAGTGTCCCTCAGTACGGCTGTCTTGGCGCTCATTAAGAATGTAAGTATAACCTAGACGACATTAAATTAAATTAAATTTAATTAAATGCCAGTTTACAGGCATTGTCAAGGGAAGCGATTAAACACAAATCCGTCCAGCAGTGAAAAAAAAAAATAATAATAATTCGGAGTCAACTACAGAAGCTTTTGCCAGGCAATGGTTAACATATCTGAACAGTATACGAACACTAGGGGCTGCAGAAAGTGCATATTATGCTGTCCGGACTGTCTAGAAATCAAGCCAAATGCGTGCGACCAAGGTCGTGTACCCCCGTTCAGACAACCTTGATGCTGACTGACCACCCTTCAGCCTATGACATCCCCCTGCCATATATTCAACGGTTTCTACAAGGTTCCCCACTTGTGCTGTCTACCGTCCCCAGTACACGTCATGTCTACAAATAATCTTTGGTTTTGCATGCATAACATTGGCGACGCAACTTAACAAATATGGCTTTATTGCTGCCTACACCGTTACTTTCCTGGCCGAAAAACGCTCCTAGACCCTCAAATGACTCGTGATTGCAATGGAGAAAGATGTTTAAGAACAACAATGAACTACTTCCGATTTTGTCAGCCAGGATTGCACTAGACGTTACCTCTTATTTGAAATTCCTCCGGACGAATATCTGGGAGTCGAACAACGGTATTCCGACGTCCTCAATTTACAAGAGGCTATAGATCTCCAAACAGCCTTCATATAACTCGAGTCAACATGGAAAGGAAAAGGCGACGTACACTTCAGCCGTGATCGATTTTGTCAGATGCATCAGGAGTCCAATCAATGCGTCTGCAATTTTATTACATATCGGACTCTCACTATCCAGGATTGTAGGTATAAAGAGATCAAGGAAGACGACCTTGAACACGCAATGCTCGTTCAGCAGTTGATCGTTAGTTTGCGCAATGAAAAGTCTCGGAAAAATCTCTTATCGGAGAAGGGGGATTTCTCATGGGAGAAAGCCCGTGATATCACCAGTCATCAGGAGCGGGTGCGGCAAAACCTTCAGCAGCTGAATCAGTCAAACGATGGAGGGATATCACCCTCGGAATCTGAAGTGACTGATTCCCTGGTCAACATCACTGTGTCCTCACCCAAACGGCGCCATCAGCCCCCTCATAATACATATCATCCTGCTACCGTTGCGGTCAGTATCATATCCGTTAGTCAGACTGTAGGCACCAGAGAACAGTTTGCCGGATTTACAAGAAAATCGGCCACATCAAACGAATATGGTTTTCTAAAAGACGGACGAATACTAACATACATGAATGCATACCTGAATAGGCAGCCCCGATAATTCCTGTTCATAAATCCGATTTTTCTGTGCGTATCTGTGGCGACTACAAGCTGATGATCAACTCAGCAACTAAACTGAATCCTTATCCTCTCCCGCGCACCGATAATCTGTACGCATCCCTCACGGGTGGTCATCAGTTTACATTTTTAGACCTGAAACATGCCTACAACCAAGTCGTCCTGGACACTGAATCCCGAGACGCCACCACCATCAGTACGCTTCAGGGTTTGTTTCAATACAAAAGACTACCATTTGGAGCAAGTTCTGCTCCCGGTTTACTTCAGTACTTGACTGATAACCTCTTGAAGGATAAACCTCATGTATGCGCATATCTTGACCGTATATTAGTCACCGGCCCATCTGAACATAGTCATCTAGAGACTCTGAACATCATGTTGGGGCGTCTGGAAGACGCAGATTTTAAACTCAGGAAAGGTAGGTATACTTTTCTTGCAGAATCGGTGGAATACCTGTGCTTCAGAGTGGATAAAACTGGCATTCGTCCACTCGAACATAAGGTCAGGGCCTAAAAGACGGCACCACGTCCAAACAATATTACTCAATTGTGTTCATTCCTTGGGCCGGTTACCCACTTGAGCCACTTTTTGAAACAATCGACTACGATTTTAAAGCCTCTTTATCGCCTGCTTGAAAAGAATCGTTGCTGGAACTGGCTGGTGGTCGAACAAAGAGCTTTTGGACAGGCAAAGGCAGCCCTTACTTCCTCATCTGTCCTGATTCGTTATGACACAGAAAAGCTCATCATACCTGAATTTGATGCGTCTCCGAACGGCATAGGTGCGGTTCTCATGCAGCGAATGCCTTCTGTGCGGAGATGCCGATCGTCGTTGCATAAAGAACCATGTCCCAGACGGAAACGAACTATTCATAGGTGAATAAAGAGACTTTAGCAATAATGGCTAGCCCTGTTTGCTTGGCATAACAACAGGGACAGCCATTTTGGAGTTGGTTGCCGTCAACCTTCAAACTGTTAAATATTATGTGCATCGGTGCCAGTTCAGGGTAAACTGAGCGATGCTTTTGGGGCGGCATTTTCCTGCGATCTCCTTTCTCGACAAGATGGAGTCGACTTCTCCCAAGGAGAGGTGAGTAACTAACATTAAAACAATATGGCTGAGCAAGCGCGACTCTGAATTCCAAACCACAACTCTGAAAGAATAAATATGCACCCTAAATAGCAGATACGTAATTGGGGACATAACGCACATTAAATTATACTTGCATTTTAACCGTTCCTCGGCTTCGGAGCTTATTACCCCAAGTACCCAAAAGGCTTGTCCAACAACTCTTTCGAAAATGGTTTCTATATTGCCATGTATCAAATCACCTAGTATTTCGTCAGATGATGTTCTGTTAGAATTAGTAGAGGCGTTTTTGGGCGACTAAAAGGTCGAGAGGTTCAATATAAGCTAATATAACTTAAGAGTTAAGCATATCTCGAGAAGGTTGCAATGGCACGCTGGCGCCTGTTGTGTCTCCGGCCATGATTCTAGTACTCGAAAATGACAGAAAGGCTGTTGAATTCGGTATTTTAATAAGTCCCTTTCGAGGGACTTCGAGATACTAGACAAAGTTCTACTTTCAGTACGGAGGTCAAAATATTGACGATTCACCACAATACCCGACAGTTCGACCATCGATTTCGATGATGTCCACCGTGTGCCCCAAAGCTGCAGCAGCGGTGGGAGCAGGGACGGTGACTTGTGCAGGGGTTTATGGTGCCAGTAGACTTGCGCTGCATCTAACTACACTCTCTCCTCCTTCCTCGCCTGAGCCCGGTGTCAAGACAGAGTCAAGGAGACCGGAGACGAGGGAGGCCGCAGGTAGATGGCTCGGACGGATCCTCACCTTAGCGTTCCACTACACCCCCTGGTCCACACAACAAATAACCAGGATTTTAACCAGCAGAACAGAGATTGGAGGCTGGCACGGCCGAAGCCGCACCTGGGCGTGTTGCCAACGCCTGGCTCGGATCCCACACTGTGTTGGGAGTGCCATAAAGGCCAAATTAAAAAGGAGCCATTGCAGCCTGACTCCGAGCCGGTCGGAAAACTGGAGTGGGGAATGGGCGCGGTGGCTGGCATGGTCGACTGACCATGACTGCGCGCGCCACGGCACGACCTGGCCCCCCATACACACACAAACACCAGGATTTCACACAACGGGATTGAGCGGCGTGTCTCTCACTTGCGTGAGAGGGCCGTGGAAGGTGCTGTTTCAGCCCATCCCCAGCCCACCAGTCCGCCACTCCACACAACACGCACAACGCGACGAACTGCGTGGACAGAGAGCGGACGTCAATCAGCAACCTTCCTATCCACGACGCTTGACGTGTCGGGGTAGTCTCGGGCTCAAGTCACTCCTGCAGCCGAAGCCGCATGAGGGCCGAGTCGAGATGCACACTTCCCACTTGCGTGGGAGGTGGCAGTTGGGTGCTTGAGGTGTGTGAGTGTTGACTTCTAGTGGGGTGATGGTGTTGGTGGTGGTGGGAGGTAGGGAGTGAGTGAATGTGCGGTGTGGCCAGCGGTTGTCTACCGCAGGTCGTCGTGGATGCGCATGTGGCCGAATAGGCCCATGCGGTGCCTGAAGATGCGAGGGCAGTGTGGGCAGTTGAGTCGAGCGTGGTGGGTATAGGTTGGTGCTCCAGGCACTGGTTCGCCAGTCTCTGTGCGATGGATTCGTAAGTGACCGACCAGGCCGATGCGCGAGGTGAATGTGCGTGAACAGTGTGGGCATGAGAAGACGGCGGTGTCAGTGTCAGCTACAGAGGAGGCGGTGGTGGCGGTGGTGGCGCGGACGGATGGAGCGGGTGTGGGGAAGTGTACGGTGGATGTGGTTGGTGTGTCGAGAGTGCGGTCAGTGCCGCTCTCGTGGATGGGCATGTTGTCGAATAGGCCCATGCGACGCCTGAAGGCGCGGCGACGCGTTGGGGGCTGTGGCTGAGTTGGGTGGCGGTTGCTGCCTCACCACCGTCTTCTGCGTGTTAATGACCAGACCGAAGTTCTCGCAGGCGGCGGAGAATAGGTCCATGCTCCGTTGCATCTCCTCTTCCGAGGTGGTGTTCAGGGCGCAGTCGTCGGCGAAGAGAGTTCTTGAACGGTGGTTGTGGATGCGCGAGATTAGAAGTGCATCCGCTGTTGATTCAGGAGGTGACCGTCCGTCCTGTAAGCGATGCGGATCCCGGGGCGTTCGTCGCGGTAGGTGTCCATCAGCATGGCAGAGAACATAAGACTGAAGATGGTAGACGCCAGTACGCATCCCTGCTTCACTCCATTGGTCACTGCGAATGCCTCTGAGACAGCTCCGTTGTCCGTGACTCGCGCCATCATACCGTCGTGCAGCTGACGCACCATCTGAGTGAATCGCTCCGGATAGCCGAGTTTCTGCATGATCTTCCACAGTCCTTCACGATTCACCGTGTCGAAGGCTTTCGTCAGGTCCACGAAGGTAGAGTACAGGTGGGTCCGCATCTCCTGACACTTCTCCTGAAGTTGACGGGCGGCGAAGATCATATCCGTGGTCCCACGATGACGACGGAAGCCGCATTGGCTTTCCGGCAGAAGGCCCTGTTCCAGATGGTTATTGAGGCGGCTGAGAAGGATGCGGGCGAAGATCTTCCCGGCGATGTTCAGCAGGGAGATGCCGCGGTGATTGTCGCAGACTTGACGATTCCCTTTGCACTTGTAGAGATGCACGATGGTTGCGTCTTTGAAATCTTGCGGGACTTCACCTTGACGCCACATCTCTTGTAAGAGAGCAGTCAGGCGATCCATCAGTTGGGGACCTCCGTGCTTGTAGACCTCAGCAGGGATTGCGTCCGATCCGGGTGCTTTCCCGCTGGATAGCGGCTGCAGGGCCCTGAGGGTCTCCTGGAGAGATGGCGGGAGGTCGAGGTCCACGTTGGTCTCCACTTGCGGTAAACGCTCGATGGCGGCGTCGGAGATGACGGAAGGGCGGTTGAGGACGCCTCGGAAATGCTCGGCCCATCGCTGTAGACTTTGTGACTTCTCAGTCAGGAGAGTGTTGCCATCGGCGCTGAGGAGAGGAGCAGTGCACTTCGTCGGCGGACCGTAGACAGCTTTGATCGCAGAGAAGAAATTCTTCCATTCGTTGCGGTCCGCGTAGCCTTGGATCTCCTCAGCTTTGCGAGCAGTTCAGACGTCCTGCATCTCGCGCAGTCGTTGCTGAAGTTGGCGGCGACTGCGGTAGAAGGCAGCTTTGTTGCCCTCAGTTGGGTGCTCTACGTAGGCTTTGTGTAGGCGGTTCTTCTCAGCAAGCAGATTTCTGATGGCGGCGTCGTTGTCGTCGAACCAGTCCTGGTGTTGGCGGGGAGCGCGACCGAGGACGGCGAGCGCCGTCGACTGGATCGTGTCTCGCAGTTGACACCAGCGGTTCTCCACGGAGGCGTTCTCGGCAGCGGCGGCATCGGCGGCATCGGCAGCGATAGGAAGGTTGTCTAGCCTTTGAGCTAGCTCATTGCTGAAATGAAGATGGTGAGCGGGCAAAGACAACAAGGCAGCATTTAGCTTACCTGGGGGTCGCTTACCTTGTGGTCTCCTGTGAGGCTGTAGGCGAATACGCATCTTCGAGATGACGAGGCGATGGTCGGTTCACCCCTCAGTGCCCGCGATCGCCTTTGTCACCAGCACGTTCCACTTATCTCGCCTCCGGATGAGAACATAGTCCAGCAGGTGCCACTGGCGCGACCGAGGATGCCTCCAGGTGGCCTTCTCTCGCTCCGGCAGACAGAAGAAGGTGTTCGTCAGGATGAAGCGGTGTTCTGCGCAGGTGCGGAGAAGCAGCAGACCATTGTCGTTTGAGCCGCGGTGACCGTGGGTACCCAGCACTCCTCTCCAGGCAGCATGGTCTGTGCCGACGCGGGCGTTGAGGTCACCACGGACAATCAACTTGTCCGCCTTCGACACTGTCGCCAAGAGGGCGGGC